GAAGGAAGGAAGGAAGGAAGGAAGGAAGGAAGAGAGAGGGGGGAGAGAGAGAGAGAGAGAGGGAGGGAGGGAGAGAGAGCAGATCTTTAAAAAGTTGAGAATGGACTTAAGAATATAAGAACATAAAAAGAGCTCTGCTGGATGAGACCAAGAGTCCATCTCATTCAGCATCCTGTCTCACAGAGTGGCCAGCCAGTTCCTCTGGAGGGCCCACAACAGGGCATAGAGGCCGAGGCCTTCCCCTGACGTTGCCTCCTGGCTCTGGGATTCAGAGGCCTCTGAACGTGGAGATTCCCTTCAGTCACCATGGCTAGTTGATAGCCTTATCCTCCATGAATTTATCTAATCCCCTTTTAAAGCTGTTTATTCCTGTGGCCATCGCTACATCCTCTGGCAGCCAATTTCACATTTTAATCACTCTCTATGTAAGGTAGTATTTCCTTTGGTCCATTCCTTTGCCCATCAGTTTCATTGGATGCCCTCGAATTCTAGTATTTTGAGAGAAGGAGAAAAAAAAATCTCTTTGTCAACTCCCTCCACCCCTTGCATAATTTTATAAACCTCTGTCATGTCCCCCCATAGTTGTCTCGTCTCTAAACTGAAAAGTCCCAGGCTCCTTTCCTCACAGAGAAAGTGCTCCAACCCCCCTCATCATCTCGGTTGCCCTCCCCTTCTCTCCTCCTCCTCCTCCTCTGTACTTTCCAGTCTGACCTGGGGGGAAATCTTCTCTGGCCTCAAGTAGCTGCAGCTGCCTGAATGATCTAATTTATTCCCGTTATCCCCAGCCTTTCCGCTTTCAAGGTAGTTAATAAAACAAAAATGATGTGAAGTGATGTGCCACTGAATGGATGTGCCACTGAATGGATGCAAAGTGACACACCTCTGTACAATCAGAGGCCATTTCCTGCAGGAACGCACAGGAGGGGAGCTCCGGCAGTAAAAAGCCCAGTGGGCGGGCACATGCGTCTTCCAAAAACGCAGGTTGCAAATTCTGGGAGTGGGGTGGGGATCGATACCAAAATATACATTTATTTTTCATGCATTCAGTCTTCAGCTGCTTCCGGTGAAATAGCTGGCTGCTAAACAGACAGAGAAGAAAAGAAAAGAAAAGAGAGTACATTCTCGAGTATTACTTATAAAGAGCCCTATAAGGTAGCTCTGTATCTCTACCTTGGCGTTGCAGATAGGCAGCTGAGAGGCAGTGGCTAGTGTGACATAGTGTTTAGAGCATTGGACCAGGATCTGAACCCAGGTTCGAATCCTCCCTGTAGAAAAGCAACCGGTACCCCCTCACCTCTCTCAGATGAGCCAACCCGAACGAGAGACTTTTCATCTCCTGTCGGCTTTCCCCCAAAAAGCCACCTTGAGTCCCCATCGGGGAGGAAGGTGGGATATAAATGAAAATAAATATGGTTATCTAACAGAAGTGCAAGGTTCAAGTCCCCTAGCACCTTAAAGAAGGGAGTGTTGGCTCTTGAACAGGGCTTTTTTTGTAGAAAAAGCCCAGCAGGAACTCACTAGCATATTAGGCCACACCCCATGCCTTCCCTTGACTTGCCTGGGCGCCCCACGGCTGCAGGAACCCCAGGCAAGCTGATCCTTGGACAGGCCGGGGAAGGCACGGGGAGGCATTTAAATACCTCCCTGATCCTTCCAGGGCCCCCCTAGGCCTGCCCGTCTCAGAGTCACCGGGGGGGTTTGCTCTCCAGGCCTTCCCTCTGTAGCCATGCATGCAGAAGTTTTGGCTGTAGTGGGTGTGGTCAACTCTGAAGCCAGCCGGAACTCCGTTGCTGTGCGTTCCTGCCCAAAAATAGCCCTGCTCTTGAAAGATTATATGCTGGAAATCTCCCCCCTCCTCTTTTTTTTTTTTTTTTTTTTGGTCTTTTCAGTTCAGTGAACTTGAGTTTGTTCACAGAACAGTGGTCCCCTCTGGGGCTGAATCAGGGCACGGGATCCTTATCTCACTTCAGATGCTAGTTTTCTGCCCCTCAGCCTTTCTCCTCTGCTCTGACCAAACTGATTACACTTTGCATTGTACCTCTGCATCCCTGCTCCCTTCTTCGCAACACCCCTCCACGCCTGGGACAGGAGGACTCAGATCTCCATTCCCACTTGTACGCAGCGAAGGGAGCTTTTTGACTCCCGAAAGGCTTTTCCCTTGGAAATCTTGTTGGTCACTGGTCCTTTCTGCACTTGGATCTTACCCCTGGTTTTATCAGAGTTCAACTCGCGACACAATACCTTGCATTTATCCCTGGTTATAACAGATCTGTTTATCCCGGGACAAGTGTGGGGCGAAACCGGGGTTACCTCAATGTAATGTGGAAACAAAAAATACCACAAGATAATTACAGGGGTGAACTTGCATGTAGTGTAGAATGTAAAAATACCCTGAGATAATTACAGGGGTGAACTCGTGTGTAGTGTAGAATGTAAAAATACCCTGAGATAATTACAGGGGTGAACTCGTGTGTAGTGTAGAATGTAAAAATCCCCAGAGATAATTACAGGGGTGAACTCGTGTGTAGTGTAGAATGTAAAAATACCCTGAGATAATTACAGGGGTGAACTCGAGTGTAGTGTAGAATGTAAAAATCCCCCGAGATAATTACAGGGGTGAACTCGAGTGTAGTGTAGAATGTAAAAATCCCCCAAGATAATTACAGGGGTGAACTCGAGTGTAGTGTAGAATGTAAAAATCCCCCAAGATAATTACAGGGGTGAACTCGCATGTAGTGTAGAATGTAAAAATCCCCCGAGATAATTACAGGGGTGAACTCAAGTGTAGTGTAGAATGTAAAAATACCCGAGATAATTACAGGGGTGAACTCGAGTGTAGTCTAGAATGTAAAAATCCCCCGAGATAATTACAGGGGTGAACTCGTGTGTAGAGAGCCAGTTTGGTGTAGTGGTTAAAGTGCGTGGACTCTAATCTAGGAGAGCCGGGTTTGATTCCCCAATCCTCCACTTGCACCTGGCTGGATGACCTTGGGCAAGCCGTAGTTCTGATAAGAGCTGTCCTTGAAAAAAGAGCAGTTTCTGTCGTGCTCTCTCAGCCCCACCTACCTCACAGGGTGACTGTTGTGGGGAGGGGAAGGGGAAGGAGTTTGTAAGCCGCTCTGAGAGACCTTTGGGTAGTGAAGGGCGGGGTATAAATCCAATATCTTCTTCTTCTAGTATAGAATATACATTCAGGGATACGGTTGAACCAGGATTTAAGGTCTAGTGCGGAAAGGACCTCTAAGGTGCTCCTTGACTCAGATCTTGCTCTTCTACTGCAGACTAATCCAGCTGTGCCCTGAAACTATGTGACAGAGGTGAGATTTGAACTGGGGGGTCTCTTGGCCCATGGCTTGTCTTTTAGCCACAGAAGCGGATGGAAGATAGAAGACCCTTCTTTCTTTTTTTGGTGAATTACGGCTGTTTGGTTGTGCCAGGGATGATATGTCCTTGTCCCTTTTCTCTGCTATGGAGAGTGAATGCTCCTCATGCCAGCTGGAGGAAAACAGGGCAGTTCAAACTTGAGTCCAGTAGCCCCTTAGAGACTGACAATCTTATACATTTTGTAAGAATAGATGAATGGAATGAAA